TAATAATAATAATAATAATAATAATAATAATAATAATAATAATAATAATAACAATAATAATAATAATAATAATAATAATAATAATAATAATAATAATAGTAATAATAATAATAATAATAATAATAATAATAATAATAATAATAATAATAATACGACAAATTATTTTGTTCAACAGTGATTATTGTAGACAATTTGTGTTATCGATCGTTTATAATCATAGAACTAGTTCAAAACTTATATATATTTGAATATTGAAAAATTGTGTAGGTTTTTTATGCGTCTTAAATGATAACATATGTACGCAAATAGTCAATTAACAAAGTGATGGTATTAAATTGAAAATTGAAAAATGATAATTGACAAATATTTGTTGAAGAGTGCTTTTCATTTGAAAATAAGAAACAAAAATGTTAAAATATGACAATGTCAATAATGATAACAATCTTTTTTTCTCTTCACGTTAAATATTTGAATAGCACAATTTTTTTTTAGCAAATGAAAAATTTTCATTTTTCTTGCCTAACTTTTATTCAATATTAAACGAATGCTTCTTTTGTATCAATTTTTTTTTCTTTTTTTTTTACATTCTATTAATATTTTTTAAAAGGACAGGTTTGACAGAAGGATTAATTGAATAGCTTGTTATATTTCATCATTTCATTCTTTGTTCTTTCATTGAAAAAAGTTTTCAATAATTTAGTATTTTAATTATTGCTACCAATAATGACAGGAAGGGGTGGAAGAGAAGGGAAAAAAAATGAATTATGAATTTTTAACCACTTTTAAACTATTAACTGTTAACCCCCCAAAATAAACTGTCACCATGATATGCTCCTATTATTTTCCTTTCGTCCTTTTTTTTATTCCATCCGAAATTACACTGATTAAAATTTCAACAAATTTCAGCGATTTCATCGAATTACTTCCTACCTAATTTCTTGATAATTTATCGTTTTCTTTTGCCCTTTTGTTTTGTTTCTTCCTTTTCCTCCTTTTGTCATTTAAATTTGTCACATGAAATATAGTGATATGATAAACGACGGGAAATTGAATGTATCACAACAATGAGGAAATATTTTGATTGCAATGACAGTTAGTTACTGATATCATATATCATTTCGAAATATCTGCAATGGTGAAATGATAACTGAGCCAAATTTTATTTTCATTAAGTTAGGACTACACTTCTATAGTTCCACTTCTTGTGAAAATGGAGCTAAATAGAGCTTATCTTCTATACTTAAATAAGCCAAGTCAAATTTGGCTTGTCTTAAGTTACATTTGCAATTCTATGCTTACAGAAATATAGCCTAAATTTTACTTATCTTAAATTAAGGCTACATTTCCATACTTATAGAAATAGAGCCAAACCAAATTTTACTTAAATTAGGGGTGCTATTTTATACTTACGGAAAGAAAACCAAATTTAGCTTGTTTTGAAAAAAAATTTAGCCTGGAAAGAAAACCAAATTTAGCCTGTTTTAAATTATATTACCATTTTTTTATGATCTTCAGCTGTTAGCTAACTTAGGCCAATTCATATAATGTTAACGCATACAATAAATTATGTCAAATTTTTAAAATTAGAATTTTGCTTTGTTTTTAAAAGACAATGAATTATTGCAATTAAAATCTCATTCCCTGTGCAAAAAAAAAGGAAAGAAAACTGAAATTTCACTTTATTTATGAATTTGTACAAATCGAATTGAAATTTTTCGTTACTTACAAAAATTTTATCAAATTAAAATAAAAAATTTGCGCAAAAAAAGAATTGAAATTTTAAGTTGTTTAAAGAATTGTCACCAGTAATTGTCAACATTGCATTTTTCATTATGTTAATGTAATGATGATATAATGTGTGAAAGAATGTTGAAAAGAAAAATAAATGAAATTATCGATTAAAATGAAATTGCATTAATTGAAATGATGCGGGACGATGTGAGTGAACCGTCATATTAAATACTTGTTGATAATGAAAAATAAAAAAGACATTATCATTCAATGTATTTGGGCGAGATTCACGTTCGTCCCTATCTTTATTACGTCTGTTTTTTCACGTACGTATTAGATCAATTCACACTGATCAATGTTATGCCGTTGAATTTTGATTTTTTTTTTTTTTGATCTTACTTTTTACTATTTTTTTTTTTCAATATTTATAAAAATGATAGTATTTCATTAGTTTTTTTTTTTTAAAATTTTTTTCTCATTAATTAATGATATTTTTATGAAACTATTGCAAATTTTGAATAACTGAAAAAATAAAACAAAACGTTTTCTTTTTTTCTTCTTCCATATCAATTTTTAATATCATTTTTTTTTTAATACTTTAAATTTATGGAATTTAGAGGAAAAGACTTTGCTCGAAATTTTGAAATGTTATCCTTTTTAACTTTAACACATAAATCAAATGTTAAAATTTGCTAACGGCTAGTTAGATAGTAAATAAAAAATTAATAAATAAATAAAATAATGGAAGGAAAAATCGATTTCATAAATTAGAATCAATTTCATTTATTATTTTGAACAGCTGTATTAACAAGGTAGATTTCATTAATTGAAAGTAATTTAATTAATTTATTTTAGAAATGAAGAAAAAGTTGAGAAATTTTCGAAAAAGAATTTAAAAAAGAGAAAAAATTTTTTCAGAAAAAATTAAAGCAAATTTCGTTTCGGCATTTTTTTTCCTAAAATTTCAAGTAATAAATAGTGGAACAATAATAATAATAATAATAATAATAATAATAATAATAATAATAATAATAATAATAATAA